GCCAGGTTAGCTGTGGCCCGGAACTGGGGGGCACTGGCAGAGCTGGGTGGGGGAGAGGCCAGGCCTGGGAGTTGGGACAGAGGCACCAGCAAAGCTGGGTTGGTGGGGAGCCGAGGGCCGGGATAATAGAGGCTGCAGCCTGAGCCTGAGATTTACCAAGGTGATTAGTAGCCAGGAAGCCAATAGCTACCAGGCAGGAGCTGGTCAGTCTAGGCCTTAAAAAATCCCGTGATCCCTTGGCACACGTGCCAAGCAGCCTGCGAACCCAGCCCCCCAAATGCTGAGCAGGGCTCCCCCTGAGCCCTCTGGTGGCTGATATTTTTTGGGCCCTGATGGTCATGCCTTGGTTCTCCCTACACCACCTCCACTCCTCTCACCTCTTACACTCGCCAACTGCCCCACTGTACTAAGAGTGGTGGCAGCCTAGGTCACCCTGTGGCCTCCATAGGGATGAGCCAGCTCCACACTCAGCCTCAACTGGACACCACCAATGGACATCTTGGGCTGGGCATCCCCAGCCAGGAAAGCTACTCCTTGGGTCTGTAACCCCTTCCTGGGGTTTGGGGACTGACACAGCTTTCTGTAAGAGTAGCCAAGGGTTGTGGAAGCCTTACAGAGACACGGGTGGCCTGGTGTCTCAAGCACGGTGTGTGGGGAGCCAGGATTCGGGCTGCATGCCCAGTCCTCGATGGACTGTTGTAATGCCTGGTTCTTTCTCCCCAGGTGTGGGACGAAGAGGGGATCCTGCAACGGCTCAGAGCCCCATCACTGCTTCTGGGTGCAGGGGGGCAGGGCTGTACTCCACACATGGCAGCTGGCTCCCCCTTGTAAAAGCCAGCCAAACTGGACACCTCGGGACCGCGTGAGGCACTCTTTGGCCAGAGCCCACCTGCTCCCCACCTCCTCCTCAGCCAGGACTTGCCTGCAGCTACCCTGCTCCATGCCAGCCAGGACCCAAGCAGTTCTTCTGTGGGCAGATGCCACGATGCCACCACCATCACCGGTGGGTAGAGCCGGGATGCAGCAGGGGGTGGGGAGAGCCATGGAGCAAGCCTTGGGGTCGGGGGGCTGTTGGGCTGTTTCAGGAGGCTGGAGAGTTCAGCGTGTGGGGGTGGAACAGGAAGGGCTGGGACCCATGGGACAGGCCTGACCTTAGGACAGGAGGGTTCCCTCTGCATTGTTCTCTTTGTACTGTGGAGAAGGGGCTGGGTCCTCATGCTGCCATCCCGGCCCCCAAGGAGCCAGGCAGCTGTCAGCGGGTTAGGAGCAGAATAGCCTGTGTCCTGGCCAGCCTGCTTGGGCTTTGTTTTCCAGCTGCTGTCCTTCTTCCCCATCTCCTTCTTTGGGGTTGTTTGTTGTAGCTGGGTTGGTCTAAGGACATAGGCAGAAAAGGTTCTTTGGGTAGATGTGATATCTTTTATTAGACCAATTAAATAGTTGGAAAAAATGTTTGTTGCAAACTTTCGGGCACAAACACCCCTCTTCAGGCATAGGGAGAGTCTGCTGGTGTTTGTGCACTCTCCTGGGTAGAATATGCAGGTCTGTGAAAATGCAAATGCCTGGCAGTGAGGATCTGAGGGAATGGGGGACAATAGGTGAGAGACAGGTTGGCAGGAAGAGGAATGTAGAACTGATGAGACAATGTAGCTGGTAAAATGCAGACGGGTTACCTGAGGTTATCAGATGGCAGGCAGGTTATAATGTGCCCATAAGTGGCATTAGAAAATATTATTTGGGGGGCCTGGGCGGTGTGGAGCGTGCCTGCCTGACCTCACCCTTCCCTCCTGCAAGGCCGTTCTGGGGCCAGCACGTGCTGGTGCTGTGCGTGCAGCCGCGGAGGAGCATGTGATGGTGGCATTGGGCACAGCGCTGCAGCGGCGGTGGTGCTGGAGCCACTGTCACTGGCTCAGTTTGCGGGGGGGGTAGGCACCTCTTATGTGCCATAAATTCAATGTCTATATTAAGTCCATGATTTTTTGCATTCAGTAGATTTATGAAGGGAAGTTTGTAGGCTCGTCTACAAAAGGTGTTTTGTAAATTCCCTTTGAGGATTACAAGTGAGAGATTGGAGAGAGGGTGGTTATTTTGAGAGAAGTGTGCACCCACAGATAATTGGGTATTTTTGTCTTTGATAGATTTTCGGTGTGTGTTCATTCTGGTACGCAGTTGTTGTTTGGTTTCTCCTACATATTTTCCATCCGGGCATTTAGTGCACTGGATGAGATCCTCAAACAATTGCAACCCATACTAGAAGAAGACCCAGTTCTGAGAGATCTTTCCAGAACCACCCATCCTAGCCTTTAAACAAGCACCGAACCTTGCCAGTGTCATCACCAGAAGCAAACTTCCTATGGCTCAAACCACACTGGATCCAGACCATGCTGGGACAAAAATGTAAAACCTGGTAACACATCTCCACCACTCCCACAAAAACTACACCCCACAACAGAACCATTACCATTCCTGGATCTTACACCTGCACCTCTAGAAATCTAATATATTTCATCCAGTGCAGTGAATGTCCTGATGGAAAATATGTAGGAGAAACTGAACAATTGTGTACCAGAATGAATGCACACCAAAAAGCTATCAAAGACAAGAATACCCAATTATCTGTGGGTGTCCACTTCTCTCAAGGTAATTACTCTGTCTCCGATCTCTCAGTTCTAATCCTCAAAGGGAATTTACAAAACACCTTTCATAGAAGAGCCTATGAACTTCACTTCATAAATCTAGTAGATTCAAAAAATCATGGACTAAATATAGACATTGGATTTATGGCACATTATAACCTGCCTGCCATCTGATAACCCCAGGTAACCTGTCCACATTTTACCAGCTACATTATGTCACCAGTTTTACATTCCTTCTCCCCCATCACACCTGTCTCTCACCTATTGTCCCTCATTCCCTCAGACCCTTACTGCCACATATTTGCATTTTCACAGACCTGCATTTTGCATATTGGTTTCTACTCTACCCAGGAGAGCACACAAACACCAACAAATTCTCCTTATGCCTGAAGAAGGGGGTTTGTGCCCCAAAGCTTACAAAGAACAATTTTTCCAACTATTTAGTTGGTCTAATAAAAGATATCACATCTACCCAAAGAACCGTGCCTGCTCATCCCCTTCTTGGCACTTTCTCTACCAATCTGCCTGTGTCTGGCCAGTAGGTGGCAGCAGGTTTGTTTTTCCTGGAAGAACCAGGGGAGAAAAGATGGGAAGGAGCAGGGGTAGGGGTATGTGCTCCCATGCAGGGAGGGGAAGGGATATGTGCTCAGGCCTCTGTCCCTGGGGTCTCTCATCTCACATGCAACACAGGGAAGAAAGGCAGAAGCTGGACTGACTCACGGATGTGAGAACCTGTTCCCTCGAGGGGGCGCCAGCTGTGATCTAACCCCCAGGTGGGGGAACCAGCTGGCCCAGGGGAATGGGGCATGGAACCTTTTAAAGGTGCTGGCTTGGATCTTGCCCCAGGGCAGGGGGCTCACTGGTTGAGGGAGAGAGGGAAATGGGCTCCTCATACTTGGAGCTCTGCCGATACTCCTCCATCTTAACCCACAGGCCCCTGCTATCCAGGCTCTGAGATCCCCCTAAGATGTATTGATGTCCCTCAAAATCTTGACCCAGAGCCCCCCAAAACCTGCAGCCCCCTTCTGTGTTAGCCCTGGACTCTCACCAGGCTCTACTGCCAATATCCTGCCCTGCAGTTCCCTGCCATCCTAGAACTGGGCTTCACCACCACAGCTTTGCTGGTGCCCCTCTGTCCTAACCCAGAACCCCTCAAATGCTGCTCCCCCTCCTATTCCAGCCTTCCTTTTCAGCTCCGTGGCTGCACCCTGATCCCCTCACTGACTTGGGTTCCCCCTTGTGCCTCCAGACCTGTGTAACAGCGGCAATATCCCTGAGGTGGAGATCATCAGCTTGCTGGGGGAGCAGCTGCCCCGCTACACATTGCGGGCAGACACGGTATTCGGCTACGACCACGATGACTGGTTGCACGTACCCCTGGTGCCCCCTGAGGTGCCTGCCCACCTGACACCCCAGCAGATTGAGGAGACCCTTCAGTACTTCCGTGAGTGCCAATGCGGGAGGGACTTAGGGATCATCAAGAGGATGTGAGGAGGGCTGGGGATAAGGGGTCCTACTGTGGGGTGTAAGGGGCTGTGAGGGAGATGGAGGTTGGGGGTGTTTAGCTAGGCTGGGTGGTGGTGGTCGGGTGCCTGTCCCAAACCCTGTCCTCCCTGCCCACCTGATGGCCTGTTTCATGGGGCCAGTGTTTTCTGTGTCTGGGATGCATGGGCAGTGGGGGAGCTACTCACGGGTAATGAGCAGCTGGGTGGAGTTCCAGGCCCAGAACATCCCCAGCTAATTCTAAGACAGCTTCTGCTGGGCTGAGCCAGAGCCTCTTAGAGCTGCAGGTTCATCATCCTGGAGGGCCCCCCCTGCCCTGGATGTTCCCTTCCCACACACACATATGCCCACACACTGCACTTGTGCAGCTCACATGGGCCAGGATCGGGTGCTGCTGAGCCCTAGCCTTGGGGAGGAGAGTGTGGGAAGATGTACGCTGGGAGCTGGGGTTGTGGGGAGTATGTGGTCACTGTATGTGAACTTCTGGGGAACTCTCTGCTCCCTTTGTCCACACCTTGGCTGGGGGCCAGTGTCCTTTCCCTGCAGATTGGGCCACTCCTCACAGTGATCCAAGCAGGATACTCCGATATGTGCCAGCTGGTGCCAAGTGTGGCTGATAGGGTAGTTGCCCTAGGCAGGGGGAACATGCCAGCCCAGGGCTGCACCTGTCCCAGGTGGGAGATTCCTTCTGCCAGGGGTAGTCTCTCCTTCCCTCATGCCTGGAGGGGTCCTTTGCCCCCCAGAAATACAAAGGCTTTTGCAATGATGGATGGGAAAGAATTCATGTATCCGAGACCCTCAGAAGGCCTTGGGCTGTGTTTGAATTGTGAGTCCAAAGGAGTCCTGCCCACTTTCCCAGCCAAACCTGAGCCTGTGCCAGTCAGTGACCTGGATAGGTGTGTGTATCTTCTTCCCATGTGAATGGCTGTTCCCCTGGGAAGGGTCAAATCCAGCCCAAGGAACATGGTCTTTGATGCCCCACTCCACTCCCCGCCCTGTCAGGGCTGATCATGTGTGTGATGGGAGCATGCAGTGGGGATGCTGGGCTTCGCTCCTTGATTGCCTGACCTGGGACTTTAAGCTACCATCAGAAATAGCCCCCTGTGTAATCTGATTGTGGAGAGAGGCAGACACCTAAAGCAGGGAGCAAATCCTCTGACCAGGGATTACAGGGAGGCTGTACCTCCTGTCCTGTTGCAAGAAGAGTCAGAGCCTCTGTCCTTGGGCACATGTGCCAGCCTGGAGTCTGCAGTGGGTTGGACATGGAGGGCTCCCTTGCCCATCAGGCTGGGCCTAACCTGTGCCCAGCATGGAAGGCTCACCTGTTGGGAAGGACACTGAAATGTTACCACAGGCTGGACACAGCCAAGCCCTGAGATGGTGCAGTGGTTCTGGCAGAGGGACTGGTAGCCAATACTCCTGGGTTCCCCCTTGAGTTCTGGGAACGGGACTTAATAGTTAGAGCAGGCAAGGCTTGGGATCCAGGACTCCTGGGTGCTATACTCAGCTCCGGATTGCAAGTGCAGTGGTTGTCAGGGAGTTGGCACCCTGTCACGGACTCCCCCCATGACAGCAGCCAAGCCACTTCACTTCTCTGTGCTTCAGTTTCCCTTTGGTTCAGTATTACTTCATGAAGTGGAAGGAATCGACCAGTGGCCAAGAAGAAACATTAGTTGGGGGACAGGCAGTGCCGATTCCTGTGCTTTCCCCTCCGGAAGAGAAGGGAGGCCAAGAGCCCAGAAGAGGAGGGTACATCTTAGGGACAACTGAACCTGCTGCATGGTGCAGAGACATCACCTGTGTGCGCCTGTCAGAGTCACCCAGTTGGACTCCTGTTTCCTCCCTGCTGCCCTGCCTCTCCCTCCTCCCATCTCCAAAGGCTTCAACACATGCTGGCGAAAGCTCTTCTATTATTAAAGTCTTGGTATTAATTATTCAGGCCTCCCCCTCCCTTGGGTCCCCCTTGTTACCTCTGCAGAACTGTGTTTATGGAGGACCTGCCAAAAGAGCCAGACTGACTACAGGTACAGCTGCCGGCCAGCCAGGGACCATAGGGCACTGCAGTCTAGGCATGTGGGTCTGTGGTGGGGGAGGTGGGGCACTGGGGCTCTGCATAAGGGTCTGTCTGCACGTTGCAACACAGCCGATTACCAGCTCCGAAGCAGCCCTTCCATAGCTTGCTAATTCCTTGGTTGCAAGCACTGCCGTGAGCATATAAGCCCTGCAGGACTTGCTCCCTGCCTCTGGTTATGGCGTCCACTCTACCCATTGCTTTAGGCACATCCATGCAGCTAAGGGGATTCCTAAATGAGACATTCTGAGGCAGAGCAGGAGGCCCAGGGCTTATTCTCTCAGTATTGGAGGTTGGGGGGTGTTGCCCAAGGGACAGACTGGGGTTTGGGCTGCTTTGTTTTCAATGATAAGGACTGAATGGGCAGGGGGTCTGGGAGCAGGTAGCCCCTACAGCCCCTCCTGCCCAGGGAGAACTCTAATCCCCTTCACGCCACCTCCAGATTCGGGGGCAAGAGACCCGATATCGTCTCCCAGTGTCTTGCTTATGGGCCACAGCTTACAGCCCCTTCTGCATGGCTTGCCCAGTACACATCATCCTGGATCCAGCCACCTCTTCCTCCCGCTGGGGACCAGAGGTCTCCCTCCACACCTCTAACCCCGTCAAGCAGGGGCTTTCAACCTTTTTTCATTTGCAGACCCCTAAAAAATGTTGCATGGAGGTGCAGACCCCTTTGAATGGTGAGCGTGGGCCTTCACATGCTTTTGATTGATCACAGTCATCTTTTGCGGACCCCTTAGACCTGTGCTTCCCAAACTTTTCCTCAGCATGACCCCATTTGTGGCCCCGTTTCCTCAGCCTGGCCCCTCACTCCCAACCCCCATCTGCTGATGTTGGGTGGGGCTGGGAGGGGGCTTGGCAACCGCTGCCTTAGAGATAGTCTGGCTCTGGGAAACCACTGTGGTGGCTGCAGACTGGCCTACTTCCCCCACAGCCCCCAACACCTGCCCAGGTGACACTTCAGGCCAGGGGTCGGGTGAGGGCTGGTGGGCCCAGTGGCGCCAGGCCGGTTCTGCCATCAGCCCAGCCTAGGAAGCCCTCCGCACCCCTGCGCTGGGGCAAGGGCAGCTCCTGTGCCCACATCCTGGTCTCACAGGACCACTGCTTAGGAGTGACCTCCAGAGCAGGGCTGTGCCCCCTCCCCCTCCACCGCCAGCCGCGCTCTGGAGCGCACTTCCAGGCCCCCCTGCCGCCATGAGCTGCCCCCCAACGGGCGAGGAGCACGGGGAGGCTGGGGCCAGCCAGAGCCGATCCATTGCGCAGGGGAGGGGGGGACGGGCTGCCTCCCCGCAGGCAGAGCCCCTCGCGGAGCTGCGGGCTCCCCCGGCTTGGCCGCCGCCGCCCCCCTGCTCGAATGAGCCCGGCCTAGCCAGGTGCGCCCGCAGCCCGGCGACACCCTATAAATACCGGCGGCGGCGGCGCTGCGCGGAGCTGGGCATGGAGCTGTGGGGCGGCCCGGCCGCGTACGCGCGGGGCAGGGGCAAAGCGGAGCCGCGCGGAGCCGCCGACATCCTGGCCCGGGAGCTGGAGGAGGGTGAGCGCCCGGGGGGCTGGGGGTGCAGCGGTCCCGCTTGCTCCGGCCGGAGCAGCTATGGTGGCACTGCAGGGGGGTGGATGTGGCTGGGGGCTCTGCCGCGGCACCCAGGCAAGGCCTGAGGGGTGCCCGCTTCTGGGCACCCTGCTCTCTTCCCCACCGAGGGCTGCCAGCCGCAGGGGAGGAGCCCCTGCTTGCGGCGCCAGCTCTCCCGGGAGGATGCGAGGGGGGTGCTAAGTGCTCTGGAGGCTGTGGGGTGCTTGGATGCAGCCGGGCTGGTCTAAGGGCAGAAGGAGACCAGGTTCTTTGGGTCCATGTGATCCTCCCTTGCTTGTTCCTGCGGCTGTACAGCTGAAGGCAAGCAAAACTCAAGGGCGTCTGAACCACTGCAAGTAGGATGCCTGCTAAAGGTTTTGGAAATGTCTGGAGACCCAAGTGCAGGTGGAGGATGTTTGCTGGTACTAGGGCCACTTATGGTTCTGGACTCATGGATTTGGAATTGGTTTTGGCTAATTTGGTCTCGTATACAAATAAAAGAGATTTCCCCCCCTCCCTTTTTTTTTTTTATCAGATTGACTAAATAGCTGGAAGAACTGTTCTTTGCAAGCTTTTGGGCACAAACACCCCTCTTCAGGCATAGGGAGAGTCTGCTGGTGTAATGTGTGCCTTCCTGGGTAGATTAGGAGCCAATATGCAAAAGGCAGATTTGTGAAAATGCCGATGTGTGGCAGTGAGGATCAGTGGGAATGTGATGCAGCTTGCAAAGAGCAATTTTCCCAGCTATTTAGTCAGTCTAATAAAAGAGAGCACATCTACCCAAAAAACCTTGTCTGGAGGGTGTGGGGTTTTTTGGGGACTTCCTTATACAGGTGGGGGGTGGGGGGTACTTCATTTCTGGGGCTGGTATGGCAACTTTTGCAGTGTTAGGGTTGATGGAAGCTGGGGTGATGTGTATGTGTAGGGGGTGCCTGCGATGGCATGCTAGCTGCAAGGGTGGTGGCCTGCCCCAGAACAGGTCAGGTCCATGGGTGCCTCAGCTTGGGGTCTGGCCCTGCTTCTTAACAGCTCTGGCTGTTTGTATCTCCTTTTTGAAATACCTGGAAAGGTGGGGAGGGTGGCATTGCTTTCTGGAGTATGCAGGCAAGCTGGCAACATGCAGCCCTGGGGCGCAGCATAGGTAAGCAGAGATGGATATCTGGGTAGGGAGTGTGGGGCAAAGCAGGAGACTGACTGCCAGGATGCTTGTTTACTTGGCCTGGCCACTGATTTCCCCCCCCCCGCAATGCAATTCCTCTGGCAAGTCAGCCCCTCCTTGTACCTCAGTTTTTCCATCCTGAGAATGGGTCCCCTCCTGAATTCTGATGTGCTCAGAGACCGTGTGATGCTGTAGCAGGGGGTAGGTTTGGGGGCAGGCTGGGGAGCAGTAGCCCCAGTTCTCACTGGCTCATTGTGAAGGCAAGATGCTGAGGTGGGTGATAGGGCCTCTGATGTGCTCTGTGATCTGTGCTGCCCCAGCTTGGTACGGGTGGGACGCAGTGTCCAATCTGGCTGGAGTGTGGGCACTGCCTGATGTAATATTGGCATCATGTGCCAAATCCAGATTAAGCAGTGTCAAAGTAGAGCCTCAGCTGCTTCTGTTTCTTGCTCCCTTGGCAGGCAAGATGGGTAGAGGGGCCATGCTGGCCCCAGGGATGAAGGGGTGCTTCCTTATTGCTTATGGTATCTCTAGGGTAGGATGATACTTTCCCTACTCCCTTGGTATGGCTGGCTGTGTAGTGTGGCACTGTGTGCCCTACCCTTGGCTGGGAGGGGCTGTGCTGGTTGCCCAGCAGAAAGACATGGGGCTGAGGTAGGCACTGCTGGGTGCCTCTTTGGGACTTCCCTTTGGGTGCCACTGCCCCTCCCTCTGAGCGGGATGTTGGCCAAGAGCTAGAGGAGCAGCCTGGGGATGAAGGATGTTTTACAACTGAAGACAAATGCTTCTTACAGTTCTGGGACCAGGATGGGAGGCCTGGTAGAGTACAGCAGGGGGTGGGGTCCATCTCTGGAGATTGTCTTGTAAGGTCAGATACTGGTTTGCAGTATGAAGCCCCCCCTCTGCTTTTCCCCAAGGGTTTGGACCTCCCAATGTCCTGGTTTCTGAGACAAGGCTATGGGGCAGATGCCCACCCTTGTGTCCATCCTGCTCTGAAGCAAGCAGAAAGGGGGAGGATGCTCGTTTTCCACTTCTGCTTCCTGCGTTTTGCAGGCTGCAGACCTCAGCTGGCTCCCAAGGGCCTGTCACTCACTCACGCCTTAACGAAGCTTATGCTCTAATTATTTCCAATTACAGTTCAGCTGCCTGATGAGGTGCTGGTGGGGACCCCTGCAGAGACCGAGCCCCTGTTGGAGGAGGGGGGAGAGGGTTGAGGTCTTGAAGCTGGCCCCGCCTGCCATGTGGACGTGCCAGCTTGCACGCAGTCCTGGCACTGGGAGTGTGGGGTGCATTGTCGGGCAGGGAGGGGGTGGTGGGATTAGCCAGGCTGTTGACAAGACAACGGCTGGGCAGAACAGGACAGGAAGCTAACAAGGCCAGTGGGGCAAGGGCTTTGGGAGGGGGCAGACCCAGGGCTTCCCTATGGCAATGCACCTGCCATGGCTTAACCCCTGGCTGGGCCAATGTAATGGGATTTGTATGATCTCCAAGCTGTTCCTGCTGACCCATTTTACACCCCACCCCATGTCTGCATCAGCCCAGGGAGCACAGAGCCAGGGTACAGGGGTAGCCAGGCTTCACAGAGAGGGTAAGACCAAGGAGTCCTCATTCCCTGCACCCTTCCTCTGCCCTGCCCCACCTTATTCCTGGATGGAGCTCCTCCTTGTATTGCTCAGGGCTGGGAGGGACCTCTTATGTCACAGGGTGAAGTCCCTCTCCTATGGCAAGTCCTGCATCATAAGACTCTGGTCTTAACCTGCCTGAGCTCCATCTCTGAATCAGCTTGGTTTCTTGCCCCTGTGTTTCTCCAGTACCCCCATCAGGTGGGAACAAGGCATGCCTGTGCTGGTATCCTCTGTAGAGCCAGAGCTTGTGTATCAGAGGCACCCCCCACCTCCTACCCATGTTCTGCCAGTCCACTTTATTTCCTTTCCCCTTGTGGGGGCTTCTCTCCTGCTGGAGGATCTGGGTCTCTCTGAGTTCAGGGCTTCTGCTGAGGACACAGTGTTTGCAGACCTGCTTGCTCCATGTAATGGCAAGCGGCTGCCTGTTGCTTAGGTAACCCTGCCAGGGCTGCCTGTACCCTGGGCAGCTCCAGGGGCTGTCTTGGCCAGCAAGTCTTGCTACTTTGCAGTAACTAGTAGATAGGTGTTGGGTGTTGCAGATGCAGAAGGGTGTGGGGCTTCATGGTCAAGTGTAACAGGCAGCAGGAAATGGATGTGGTTTGCAAAAGGGCAGCTTTTTCTTGGAGGGTCCTTCTTTGAGTTGTGGGCTAGCAGGGCTTGTGGGTGGGTGG